ACGGAAGAGACCGAACCGTAGTTTCCGCCGTATATTATCGCGTCGGTTTCGCGTTCGTTTCGTGGCTTCAGCAGCGCGGATTTAATACCGCGGATTGCGCTGCTTAGTCTGCTTCGCAGCAATTTATTGGAGGCGAGAGCGCCTCACGAAGGCGGTCGTCGATCTCGAAGGCGCCCTTCACGGCCGAGAAATCGATCCTTGGAAATTTACGGTGCGGATAACGTCAGTGTGCACGTCTTGCGGATCGGCGACTGAGGGTTGTCTCGAAAATAAACGATCATATCGCGCGTTTGAGCAAACTCTGTTAGGATATTCCGTGAAGTAACAATTATAGATGCCTTTTGGATAAGAAAAGGATTCTTTCTCGAGAGTCTCTTTGACAGAAAATCACGTTTCGGGAGAAAAGAGGGGCAGGTGAAAGTTGAATTGCCGTTTTTTTTTTTTTCTCGTGAGATTCGCGCGAAAATTCTCCCCGGAGAATTTTCATGAAAAATTCGCGGGTTTCCCGGCATAGAGGGAGAGGCGACAGTTGGATCATGCCCCGGACAATTTTCCGCCGCTTCTCCGAATATCCGTGCGTGCCGTGAGTCGCCGTGTGTACGCGCCGCTCGCGTGTATGCGTGCGTATACCCGGGAGGAAGAGGAAGAGGAAGAGAACGAACAGGAGGCGAAGGGGGTGCGCACAGGGTCGTCGGAAGGGTGGGAGAAGGGCGCCCTTGCCCTTGGCATTGCCGCTCGATACGAATAGTCAGGGCTGTCCAAAACGGTGCCGAGCCAATTTAACGTGCGCGTAAGCCTCTCCGCGCGCGCCGGAAATGAGGTGGGAGAAGGGGACATCAATTTCCGCGTCGGCGGCAGGCCCCGCGTCACGCGCAACGATTTTCTGGAGATCGTCGACCTCGTCTCGTGCATTTTTCCGCGGAAAGGAGGCTGCACGAGCGGCCGTCCCGCAAAACCATGGACGGGCTTCCACCTATCGTAGCGAATTCCGCGCTCGAAAATGTCGAGGCACACAGAGGTCGCGAGGGATACGACAATCGGTGGGAGGGGGGAAGAAAGAGAGAGAACTTTGCGCGGCGCAAATTCGCTCGAAGGAGAAAACAGACAGAATTGTCATTGCATTCTCCTCGGTCAAGTTTCACGAGCGAGCCGCGCGCGACGGGATTTCAATTTAAATGTTGACAAGCCACGATCGTCCTCGGTGTTCCCGTTGAGGAGAAAGTCTCTTAGCGTTGACTTAGCTGCAGAAGAAGATACGATAGCCGGTGATTTCAGAACGCTATTAGATGCACGCGACGTTTGCGACGCGTGATATTCTGGGCGAGAGCACGAATTTACGCGAACAGATATTATTACTTTTGCACGATTAAACAAAGGAACGTTTCGCGAGAAAAGACGAGAATAACACGCCAATGCGACGTCTAAGAACTAACGAGCAGGTCCGTTTTTAGGTACTCTCCTCCTTCTTTCTCCTGACGCATACACATAACCGACCGATTCGCCCGAATATCACTTGATTTTCCCGAGGTCCGTGTTTATTTTCGCGTGCAACAGCTCCGAAACGAGAGATTATATTTGCGACGCCAAAATAAGAGGAAACAATTGGCTCATGGCGAAGAAGGGACGAAAGGGAAGAAAGAAAACGGTTCCGCGCGTCTCCAAGGGGACGACGACGACGGCGGTGGGTCTGATGGGACCTCGATTTATCCTTCCGGAATCTTGTACGTCGTGTACGCATGCCCTCGCCCTTGCCCTTGGTCGATACTCATCCCCTGGAAGACTGCCTTTTTCCGGTTGCGACCGCCACCCTCGTCGACTACTCGTCGGGGTGCCTCACCGCCGCCGCCGCCGCCGCCACCGCCGCCACTTCTCGCTCGCAACCACCACGTGGCGGCCACGTGGGGAGTAGTATCGCGCGGCGCGCAGGTGCAAACCTGGCGGAAGGCGAGCGCACACCAGATGGCAGGGACAATACACCCTCTCATGAAGGTGAACGACCTCCGCGCGGAAAGTAGGCTAGGCGTGGCCTAATTGCGGGTCCTCTTAATACTTAGCGGAATCGCCATTGAGGATTTTAATATTAAGCGAGCTGATTAAAGTAGCTATCCGTGGCTAGACTCGCGGATGAGAAATCGCCGTCAGACGTCCGACCCGCTGACGAGAATGAAGGTGTCGTTCTCGTCAGACTGTCGTAACGCGTAGCGCAAATGTCGTTGCCGGAATCCCGAAGTACCACGACAGAGCAGTCAAGAGCAAAACACAAAATCGAGAAACCGGAATAGAGGAGATGCAAGACATCGTTTTCATCATATTTAACCATTAATTGTATCCGTTTATTAATCTTCATTAAATCATTTGATATCTATTCACCGTATTCGATCTGCAGTTAAGTAAATCACACAATTTCAATACATTGTTTGCTGCGATTGAAAATAAAGATTCAAGGCAGGCAGAATATCGAGATAATCAAATATCCGATAATTTTGAAGTAAGACTATTTTTTTAAGACAACTGAGCCATTCAATGGCAAGAATGGAGTTCAGTGATCGTTTGTCGCGTCAAGATGGGTCAATAGCCTGTACTACTGTGTCCTCCGCGAGTTCGACAGAATCTGTAGGGGTTAATGTGGCAGCAGAATTTCGACTCGGTAACTTTCTGCGCCGTTTCGGGAATTGAGACCGCGTGATTATTTCCGCGCGATGGATTCGCGCGTTAACATTCAACCGGATAAATATTGAATTCATTGGCGACGCACTCGATATTATTGCTCCCCCTCTCCTCTCTCTCCCGCGCACTTTCCAGTTCGGCGATCCGATCGATCGCCTTAATTGCAGGAGTTGATGCAAGAAGTCCCCTTAATATTCCCCTTAATATCCTGATAAGATCGACTCCAATCAGAAGCGCAAAATCGTACGCCGCAATCAATCTTTCGTATCGGCCGCGCTCCATCTCCGTCACGTAGCGCCGCAGCGAAAGAGAGAGAGACAACCTATCCCCTTCGAAGGTCAATGACCTTGATTGGTTCTCCGAGGAGGGTCGGCGAGGCCCTTCCATTCGAGAAGACCTATGAATCAGGACGCTCTTTAGGGCCGCCTCTTCGACATCTGGCACCGGTGACGGCATTTAATTAATCGCCGCTGCAATTAATCACCGAATCGGTCGCGCGAATATCTTCGGCGTTACGTCCCCGAGGAGACTTTGTGTTTGCGAATTATTCGTTTCTTTCCTACTATAAACTACTTCTTTCGAACATCAGGGACTCTCAAAATTAATGAAGATCAACGCACTGCGTCTACACGGACTGCACGTCGCGCGACAAGACTCACTTCAAGAAAACACCTTCTAAACAACCTAGAGTCATCAACTTTGATCTCGCGGTTTCTATGAACATGTTATCTCTTAATGTAAAAAATAAATATGCATATTAATCCTTAAGCTCGTATCAATGATCGTTACTTGTAACTCCTCTCAAGTGAGACACTCAGATTCGAATTCAGAGATGCTTAAAAGTTTTCCAGTTGAATCGCAGATGATTGCAGATGTACAATTATACCACACATATACAATTCGACTGAAAAACTTGCATCTAACTCCAAGAGCCACATTAATAGTTGTCGCTTGAAACTTGTCTCATGTGAGATACTTCGATTTTTATCAGAGCTAGATCCAGATCTTTCAGTTGAATTGTATGATACATATAGGGCATTGTATCTGTAATCGCGATTCAACTGAGAAACTTTCACCTAACTCTGAACTCAAATCTATGTGTCTTGAGAGAAATTTCAAGTAATGACTATTAATAGGGGCTTGAATGGAAGTCCGAGTGTCTCACACGAGACAAGTTTCAAGCCACGACTGTTAATATGGTCCTGCGTGAATTATATCTTAGAGAAATGATTACTCTTCTAAAAGTTTTCGCGTCTGAAGCCTTCAGAGCGGTTCTTCGCGCTCACATCTTCTCGTCTGTCTATTCCTCCGTCAATTCACCATGCATTTTACCGTACAACCGCGGCGCACACAAGAAGACGATACGTTTTAACCTCCGATTATCCCGGGGGCGAGTCTCGCTTTAAGCGACTAGCGACTAGAGGGAGGTTCGGTTTCACCGACACGGCGTGGAATCAAATGCGCTTAAAGTGGCATTCACGCTGCTTGACAGGGGGCCAAAGCTGCGTGGCCGGGGTAACAGCAACGCAAATCCGTCCGATCGGTTTCATCATAGAACGCGCTCGATATCACAAAGGACGAGATCCTCGAATTCGCTCGGACGACGGCACTTCGATCTCCAGGATCGGTGAAATGTGAGAAGCGTAAATTCTAATTGGACTTCTATCGCAGCCCAAACGAGCTCCGACGAATTTCTCGCTTTGAGCTTTTCTTTGCCTCGACATAAATTTCAAACGAAAGCGACGCTCATGGCATTTTATCTCGTTGCGTTCTACTTTTAGAGAGCGATTCTTGTACCTGGGTAATGTCTCTCTTTCTCAATTGCGCGCAAAGCATCCGGGTGTGTCTCTCCGCGACCGGTTCTTTCGCGAAAAGAGGAAGGGTGACAGGGGCATGGTGTCGCCACTGGACAAAGTTGGCGATTCGGACGCACGGCGTCGTGCGTTGAAGACTGATCTACAATATGCTCTTTGCATTCTGTTTCTTGTCTTCTGTCTTTTTCTGGCTTAAAGCTTAAGGTTTGAAAGGTCAGAAAGAGATAAAGAGAAAGAAGCAGAAAACAAAGAGCATTGTAGATCAGGCTTAAAACCGCCGCGGATTACGGTGTTTTACGACGCACGCACTAGTCGAGGGCACGCGTGTGCGCGTATACACCTGTCGCAACATCTTGACGACCTTAACCTTTCGCGGAGGGCGAGGTCGGCGCGGCTGAAAAAGTTACTTTCTAATTTCGTCGCTCGCGCCTGCGTTCACACTCGTTCGCTTGTTCCTCCCAAGACGCCCCCGAGAATATCGCCCCCCTCTGACATGTCTCTTTTCTTTTTCTGTTTCAGGTAAGCCTATTACCGTCACTACGTGTGATTCGTAAACGAGATGCTTCCCGATACGCAGGCGATACTTTAGATTCACGAGCTGTGCGTGTCAATGCTCTCTGTCGAGCTGATCGTAAGTAAAGTGCGTTCAAGTTTCCACGTCGTCAACTGCGACGACGAGATTCCCGTCGCGGAGGCGCGGTAATCATGTTCGAATCGACTTGCTTCACGCCGAAACTGGGGGGGAGGGACATCATACAATTTAATATTAATTTATTTTCGAAAGCCAAAATCGCTGAAAAATCCGCTAAAATTTACAACCAATCAAGCTTTTCTCGCGTCTGCGAGACACACACTTTCAGCTCTTCATCTCGCGGAATTTTTCTATCAGCGACCTTATCTCTATTGACGACCCCGCTGTAACTGAGATGTTCGAACAACTGTCCTTCCAGTTGCACAACGCCGATCGCCGATCGGAGGAGAGGCGCGCGACTCGAGCAATTCTTCGCCACGTTGCGCCGCGACATCGAAACCTCCCGAAGGCCGCTTCCGCGCTTGAGAGCCATCATTTTTTAACCGCGCCGGCTCCCTAATTTCCGACGCGCGGCTCGAAGGGTCAAGTACAGTCGCGCAGATTGGTGCGCTCGTAGCCGTAGGAGAGAGCGGGCTGTGGCAAAGAGAGCCGACGGACTTGGGAGAGAAAGAGTGAAAAAGAGAGAGAAAGAAAGACGGAAAATCTGCCAGGGGCGCGAGCGGGGCGGAAGATAGTGAGAATCGGAATCGAGTGTGTACGAAGGGTGAACGACCGAAGGCAGGGGCACTAGGCTGCTACCCTCTGCGACGAGAGAGAGGGATGCAGCAGCGTGCCCGAGAGAGAAAGAGAGCGCCCGAGGGTGGGCAAGGACGAGGAGGACGAAGGGAGGGCAAGCAAAGAGGCGCGAGAGGGAGAGAGTAACGGAGGGGGCTTCGGCAGAGAGAACACATTGAGCTACTCCCCTCAGCTCCTCCTGCTCCTCCTCCTGCTCCTCCTCCTCCTCCCGCGTCTCTTGCCCTCCCTCACCGCTACCCCCTTCTCCTCCCCCTCTCTCCCGCTCTTCTCACCCTCAGTCGTGCTCGCCGAAGAGGATCAATACGAGCCACGTGGTGTGGCAGTAACGCCACGGCGAACGACCAGCCTAACCCTCGTGCATGCAACAACCTAAACCGTCAGGGATCCTCCACCGGGGGATGGATTTGTCGGTGTTTTACCACTACGACGGGACTTTCTTTCTCTTTTGCGCGCGCGGAAGCGAGTCTCTCGAGTTGCGGGAGATCGCGGATTCTTATAGGCTCGGACATGCAATCGATTCGGCCTGAAACGGCACCTTTTCGAGGTTGCCGTAGCGCGAAAATCGGGATTACGTCCCGTGAGGGGATACCTGCGCGGCGCGAAGCGAGCACAGTTTTTAGTTCGGCTCTTGCGTCTGTAAATTTCGAAACGTGTAAACGAGAACGCGATCGTCGACGTGCTATTTCCTATCGATGACGTTGGGATCGTCCTCGCTGAGGTCATAGTACTTTTCTATTTTTCTCGAAAAGTCACGTGAATCTTCGATTCTCCGCGGTATCCTTTGCAGCGCATCCCCGCGCAGGAATCCAGTGCGGAGCCGCCCTTGGAATTAATTTCGTGTCTGTTGATGTAATTAACGGCGACACGGCGGAATTGAATTTTTCGCAATGATGCGATCTCGGATCTCGAAAGTCGAAAAATTTCTAGGCGACCGTCCTCTCCTCCTTCCCCAAGCGCGAACTGTCGGAACGAAGAACTGCGCCGTCGGATGGATCCTATTTTTGGTCATCCATCGATCGCGTTAGCCCGTGCCGTGCGACTCGAGAGACTCACCCCGAGTTTTAACCCGCCGGCGGTGTGTGTGTGCGGCTTCGCCCCGGCCAGGGAACGGCCTTTATCTTTCTGGGACACGAAGTCATCGGCGCACAGAGGCGCGATTTGCATCGATGATCTTCTGACCTCCAAGGGACGCGGAGCCGCCTCCTTGAATTTTAATATCGCCCTGAGCGAGTCGCGTTCGCTCAATTAAAAATACGAAACTGTCGTGCGGAAAACTGAGTCGCCAATTGTCGCGTGATAACAGTTTCACTGCACAACTGAATGCTCTCAATTGCGCGCTACGTCAATACCAAAGTCTATCGCGCTGCCGTGCAGAAAGAAAAAAAATACAATATCATAGTATATTTAGTTCCTGCAATTTTGGCTTTGCCCATGGCACGGGACCAGTGACGTTGAGCGACACAACTGAATATCAGAGAGAAGGATAATTACCGGAAAAGTAATTTTTCGCGAGATAACAATAGCCACTTATCAGACCGAGAAAAAAATCGAGTCTGATCGGTGTCGATGATAAATTCACATGGCAAACAAGGTGTTGCCCGTCTTCGTTCGCTCGCTCTTTAACGTCGACGACTTCGACGTGTGTTCAATGTTACGAAAAAAAATGTGTTTTTGGCACACTCTCTCGCTTGCCGTACGGCCGCAACCCTCGCGAGTTACACGCCCGGCGTTTCCTACACGACGAATCACACACACACACACACACACACACACACACATACACACACAAACAGCAAAGACACACATAGACACATAAAAGCAAGCAAGCAGGCCAAGAGAAGAACGGGACGAGGCGAAGGAAGAGAGGGTGTAAAGCCTACCCTTGTAGATCGCTTTGAAGGGGGGTTGCTATTACGGGTGGTTTCATACATTGCACACCCCTGACTTCGAGTCTAGGTCGGTCATTCACCCCATTGCCATCACCCGGCATTACCCGGCGCAACCCCTACTGGCAGCCCCACGATCCTCCACCACGCGCGCGCGCCACCGCCCCGTCTCTCGCCCCGCTTCCTCTTCCACCCCTATTCACTCAATGACGTCACCTAGCCGCCCCTCCGGTGAGGGGCGAATGCTCCTTCTCCCTCTCTAGTGAGAGGGAAAATGGTAGGATGGTTGGGCGGCGAGTGGGGTCGCGGACAATGGCGTAGACGGAAGGGGCGCAGCGAGTTTGAAGCTCACGAACGCGCGCGAGATAAGTGACTACGGGGCACGCCGGCTTCCGCAGTCATTTCCCCGGGGCTCATTATTGCATGACAATCGAGATAAAAATGTCGGCCGTGCGATTGCGCGCCGCGCGAATGATCGGTGGGATTAATCGGCGTCACGTTAGGATTATTGTTTCGGGCCGCGACGGAACGAGGGAATCTCTTCACCATGCGACAATAGCCATGGATTTTGCGCGACGCGGGGAAGGAAGATTTGCAATTTCTCCCCGACGGAGAAATAATCCACGTCAACCGCGAGAGCAACTCGGCTTCTTGACGCTGCCGGTAACGGAGTCTTAATTACTGCAAAAACAAATATCGCTCTCAATAACAAGTGCGATTTTTCAATTGCATCTATTAATCTCTCGAGTGAAATGCCTAAATGGGAGAGTTTCGTGGTAAGACATTGAATTTTTTTGGATTTACTTAAACCATTGTATTTCTGTATCTCCGTCTCTCTATTTCTTTCTCTCTTTCCCCCCTCCCCCTCCCTCTTTCTCTTTTTAACTCATATATTGAGAGAAAAGATATCTGAGAAATACTAAATATTTATTCGATGGGTACTAATAACACATTTAATTATACTAAAGCACAAAATATTTGTCAAATAAGGCAACATACTTCTTAAAACCTTATTCTCATGAAAACATTTATTCTACTTAAATTTAAAAAATCAGATTTAGTTGAATTTCTTATTATCGATAATAAATGAAAATTCTACAAAAAAAATTTCCTAAAATTACACTTAATAATACCCACAGAATAGATATCTTGTATTTCTCAGACATTTTTCTCTCAGTTTAGCAAGTACAAATTAGATATATATATATATATATATATATATATATATATATATATATATATATACTATTCTTCGTTTTTCGAAATTCTTCAAAGAGGATAGCGATAAAGAGGAAAGAAATTCAGATCTGCTTATTAAAAATAAATACCAGTTCTCCAGAGGAAATTGCGCAGTTATTTTAAAAGTCAGGTTAACGACACGAGACTCTTCCAACTCTTATTTCACCTAGGATATTCGCCTTATATACCAGATAATAGTGTACGTTTGTTGTTGTTGTCACTCGCGTGACCATGGAATATAGAATAAAAGAAACCTGAATTGTGTGTCGAAACGGAGGAGCGCTTCTCTAATCATTTCTAATGCGACTGCATTTTCTTGCACGGCCACTGCAGGCCGAGATGACGTAGCGCCGACGCTCGCCTCGTCGTTAGCGCATTGACGGCGGTTGACTCATAAACGGTGGGCAGCGGCTTGACTATTATCTACACGATGTCCATGATACGCGATATATCGGCCGGCGACGAAGAGACGCGAAGAGAAAGTTAGCGGCCTCGCGCGGCCAGCGGGACGTTCTCAACGGCGACGTTTCCCGCGCCTCTTTCATCCAAACTCGCGCCTCTGGCCGTCTCATAAGGCGGTTGCGCGCGACTCCGCGCTGTGTACTTTACTCGTGATATCAACCCTTCATTGCTTCCCGCTCCTACCGCGGATATCCTGCGAGAATTACGGACGACACGCGGCGCTGCCAGCGAAATGCCGGCAAGGATGGCCCGCGGTCTTAGCGTGTCTTTTAACTCCCCGTGAGAATTTCGCACGTGAGTGCGCGAGAGGAGACACACTGCTTTATCGGCGAATAATACACATCTCTGATGAAAGAACGCAAGTAGCTTCGATATAGACGGCACGCTTGTTCGTTTCACTTCGTTTCGAGTTGACTTCGTTTTTATGGGGTCGTAATTTGAAGCTTAGCTTCCAGTCGAGACCCAGAGAGACGCGCCATGTTGAAGATCGACTTCAAATTGACCAAAGAAACCGCGGCTAAAGAGAGACATCCGCTGATTCAAGGATACTCGGTGCGCACGCTGCTCATATAACGACTCCTGCCAGGATCGCTTCTTCAAGAAACGCCCGTTTGTCAGATATTTCGAGTATCAAGTGGTACTCCTCTGAGAGCACTATCCACCTTGATCTGTGGTATTTATATTTCAACTATTTACTCGTGTATTTGCTACAAATTG